TCATCTTTGAGACCTAATTTCATCATCCAAAGACTTCAGACAACAGAGCCAGCGGTGAATTGCCAAAGGGCTCACAGAGATAAGATTGTTCTCCCAGGATGACGGCACATATTGACGGGCCAGTCATCTCAGGGGAGCTGGGCAGCGAGTCCACATCTCCGAAAACACCGCAGGAAATTTCCCAACAGGCATTATTTGGATAAACTGACAAGACTAAGTCTAAGTGGAGGGGCGCCCTGGTGGCTCACCATGAAAGGTTTAGTCCTAACCAAAGTGGCCCAGGTTCGAGTCTGAAGGGAACTGGAGTGTTTGTTGTTGTTCACTTTCTTTGCACATACTTTCTTCTGCACATACAACACCTTCACAGAACATGCATCCGTGCACCACTGTCATGGCGGACATTTCTGATCTCCACACTCCATTGTTCATTTGTTGTGATTATAGCCTTTAAATGGACTCCCTCCTTGTCACATTGTTTTTATGCCTCACTACTTCCTCCCACAGTCCAAACATGCACATTAGGTTATAGTTTTTATGCCTTACTATACGATGATGTCATGTTTTGTAGGGGTGGCGGGGTTGTTGCACCCTACAGTCCCTACTTGTTGAGACCAAACCTACGCCACCTGGTAATACTTTAAAGAAGTGCTGCATTAAATGTAGACATTGTGTAATGTAATAGTAAAGCTGAAGGTGCTAAGATATAAAATATTTTTGCTGACACAAAATATTAATGAGTTTCCTCCACAGGGTGTCTGGGCTCAGCCTCAGAGCCTCGCGTTGAGAGGCGCTGGTTCGGGGCATCTGGGTAGGATCCCTCCTGGGCTCCTTCCTTTGGAGGTTTTCCAGGCATGTCTGACTGGTAGGAGACCCTGTGGCGGACCCAGCTCTCATTGGAGGGATTACACATCCCTTCTGGCCCGGCAGCGCCTCGGGATCCTCCAGGAGGAGCTGGAAAACGTCGCTGGGGAGAGGAACATCTGGAATACCCTGCTTATAAAAATGGATGGATGGAAATATCAATGTACCTTATTGGTGTAGGTCAGCTCCAGTGTCACTATGAACTCATTTCGGTTTTCAGGCCACTTCTTTAAATTGTGGTTTTTATTCATTCGACACAAGCTCTGACTCGACGTATTTAAACATTTCACTTCACAGGAGCTTCGGAGCTTCATTATCATCAATTTCTATCAAAAGGTCAAACCAGAGAACCTTCAAACACTTGCACTAACTCCAACTCCGCTGCCGGAGCACATGTTAAAGTTTGTGAATGCACAAGTGGGAGCTAATACTAAGACTATGTTCTATTTCTTTAACTGGACAAAGCTTTCAACCTTTCACATTTAATACTGACTCTCTCAAAAGCCCAGTTTGGCTTAAATAATGAAACGTCTCACTTCCTTTAACAGGAGCTATGTACAGTAAGTATTTCCTATTGCCACATTGCTAATGTTAGCATTAATGCTAACCAGCTAGCCCCTGTCCAGTCGGTTTGTGTGTGTGTGTGTTGTTTTTTTTGTTTTTTTTAAATTCTTATAGTTTAATGATTTTAAATGGAGTTATTTAGAGAATGTTTTATTATTATTGTACACTGTGATTTTGATGTAGTTGTTCTGAGTGAGATGAGTTGTCAGTCACACCTGAAAGTCAGTGAAGAAACTGAAGACCAGCCAACAAGTTTGTTGTATTCCTTCAGAATAAACCCACCCCTCTTTCTTTAAATATGTTCATCCTGAGTCTGGCGCTCTGTGGGCGCTTCCCAGTGGAATTCAACTCATGTGCCTGAAGGGAATTCTCTACATTTTCTGTGCAGTAATGGTAATATAATACCTCAATAATAATAATAACTCATGACACCTGTTTAAAAATGTCTAACTGAAAGTTATTAACTAAAATATTCATGAGAAATATCCCCTGGGCCAGAGTTTCCTGCCACCAACAGTCAGACAGACACAGAGGAAAATACACATCAGAGGAATTTTAATTCTAAAATACTAAAAAATAACCATTTACCATTTACAGTGGTATAAAAGGTTGAAGGCTAAACTGTCAATGACTCCTGGTTTTAGTTCCCTGAGAGACTCGAGGCTTCGGTGTCAGTGGGAGAGTGTCGGCGCCACCGTGTGGCCAAACTGGGAAATGACATCTAGACTGACAAACGTGACGGTGACACTGATGCAGATACTGTTTATCATGTTTTTCAAGAAAGACGTTTTAATAAACTGGATGGAAGCTTATGTGAATTTTCAAATTGTGACAACAACTGTTAAATGTTGTTCATTTTATGTTGTTGATTCGAAATGTAAAATGCTCTAAGCTGCATTGAAATTTGGTGTATTTCCTTTAAAAAATACTTAATGAAAATTGTTCATTAAACCTTTTAATTATTCTGTTTTGAGGAAAAAGAAACGCAGTCTGAGGAAGAGCAACAGTTTAGGAATCCCTCCTCCAAGAAGGACAGACATAGACGCCATATATACACAGAAAAGACATACTGTATGTGAAAAGAAGAGAAGAAGAGAAAACCTCCCAAAAAAACAAAACTCAGGGACATAATTTCTACAGACAGGAGGTGGCGAGACAGTTGCAGACAACACGTGATGTGAAAACAGGAATAAACAAGAGACGGGAACAAACACTGGAGAAGATCTCGGGCACCAACAGGACTTGAGCCAATACTGAAGGGTCAGAGTGAGAAGAAGTTATCAACATAACTGTCAGCAGGACAACGAGGACTTGAATTACTGAGGCCTTGAGCTTCATAAAACAGAGTGACATCAGTGCACTGGAGGGAAAACAGTAGCAGGTGTGGGGTCACCAGGGCAACGCATCGGAAGCTAAGGTATAAACTTTAAATGTCTCACCATCATAGGACCAAGTCCTGCAGCCTACTGACTTTTATTAAACATATTTAAATGGATTTACTTGCTTTTATATATATTACCATTCTTAATCACATCTAATATACTCTCCATAATTCCCTTGTTGCCTTCTGATTGGTGTTTATATTGACGTACCGAATTCATAGAACCGCAGTTCAAATGAAACAACACAACCAAGATCGTACTAAATATAATTCATTTAATTATCTTACGAATAAAAGGATAATTACATTAAAATACAGCATGATTACCTATAAACACTGGCATGGTTATAATGTACAATTAACAGGAGCTTGTTCATGATACTAAAAACACCAGCGGAAGAGAGATAATCCAGCTGATTCGACATCTCTGGTAAACATGTCCGAGCGTCTGATTAAATGTGCCGTGTGGTAGTTACTGAAGAAAGTCACATTGTTCAGTCATCGAGCCGTCACACTGCAGCTCCCACGTGAGGGAGACCCACAAACAGAACGCATTTAACTCCATGATGAAAGCAGGTGTCAGGTGTGTAGGGCTGCAAGCAACCCTTGGTAAGCCAATAAAAACCATGTGGCCCTGTCAGTATCAAGAAGAAATAAACTCAAAATAACTTGTGCGACAATTTAACAGAGCACAGTGTTAAACAACCATCAACATACAGGATGTCAAACATAATACAATAACGTTTAACGGGTAAAATCTGAAGCACATCCACGTATCTCCATCCAAAATCAAAACTAGATTAGACTGTGCAACTTCGAAGCTGCTGACAAACAAGACTTCGAGTGCTGCTCCCCAACCCTGACCGGAGAAAACACGACAACCTACAACTTCAGCTCCAGCTGCTACACTTTATATTTGAGTCTTCTTGTGAAAGTTAAAGTTCTCAAACCATGACAAAAACAAAAATCTAATGAACTTTAGATTTTTTGGATGGAATTAAATGGGTGTATTTTGGATTTTTAAAGTCATCTTTGATATTCCTCAAATCAATATTTCATATTAAAAATGGAAAAAACAAACAAAAAAACCAACAACTTTTAGCAAATTTTCTTGATTTTATGGCCTGAAACTTTTTGATTTACTCCTCGGTCTCATCGGCTTCCTTTCCAGCCACAATGTGCAGGTTTTTTTTCCAACAAGAATACACCACCTGTCCAGCACCAAACGGCAGACACACACAGCTAGTGACTCGCTGGCGAATAAAGTGGAACGTTTAGCAGCTAAAGAGTCAGATCGTTTTCCTCAGGGGAGAGTAGAGACCAAAACAAAAGCTAAAAGGACACAAACTCTACTCCAAATGAATGCCAATGTTGCTCAGACAAAAAAAAAAAACCCCAATATATTCAGCTTCACATAATTGGTAAAATGTTAATATCATTTAATGTAAATTTGACACCTGTGGGACTCCGTAAAAACCTGACCATGTTCTTTTGTTTTTATCTCTGTTGTAGCACCTGCTACGGTGGCCTGAAGAGAAAAGCTTGAAGGGCGTGGACCCGACTCTCGAGTGATGTCATGTTTTATGTAAGAAAAAGAGTAGCAGTTTGTAAATGAGGGGCATAATCTTATCGTGCTTTCATGTAGCCGGCTGTTAGGGCGAAAGACGGTAAGATCTCCTCAGATAGTTACAGTACGTATGCGATCAGGAATGAGCTCGGTCTTTCCACTCACTCTGCAGACTGAGCCAGTGGGCGAACATTACTCAGATCCTCCGGTAAAAGCTCGGCAGTGGAAACAATGTGCCCTATGCTCGAGTGCGAGAAGAACCGGTTCCTCAGGATGGACACAGCAGCTTTTCATCTGCGCTGAAAAGACGCCTCTTCCAGTCGAGTGAGTTTTTCTTTTTTTTTTTTTTCTTTTTTTGAAGCGTTAGGCTAAACACATGTACAGCCTTGTCTGGAAAGTGCATTCAGTTGTAAAGCAAAGAGACACCGGGAGTGTCGCAAACAGCTGTGTGTCAGTCACAGTCACAGTTTTCTACCATGTGCATGTCAAAACATTTTAGATCCTTCATTTGGCTGAGTGGATTTTTTTTAAATTACATCTGAATCTCCTGCTTCATTAAAAAAATATCAGTTTAGTTCGTGTTTGTATTGAAGTGAGTTTGATTTTGATTTAGAGTGTGTTTTTTTGTTTTTTTTTTGTCTGTTTTTGTTTTTTCGGAGTGTTGCTAATAACGGCTGGCGTCGTCATACGAGGTCACGTCCAGGTCGAAGAAGTCCTCCAGCTTCCACTGCAGGGTCTCGAACGTGGGCCGGTCCTGTTCGTTCCCCTTCCAGCAGTCCATCATGATGTCATACATGACTTTGGGGCAGTTGGGGGGGCACTGCATCCTGTAGCCCTGGGGGACCCTCTGGACCACCTGGTAGTTGGTCATGGCTGCAACAATCAGAGACGGACATGATCACAGACGTGCCAGGAGAGTTTTCACCCCGTTTTTTTAAAAATCATTTTCTAAATGATGTACGACAAAGCTGATAAAAGGTGATACCTGGGTAAGGCATCTGACCATATGTCATGATCTCATACAGCAAAATCCCAAAGGACCAAACATCAGATTTTATAGTGAACTTGTTGTCGTTGATGGCCTCTGGAGCGGTCCACTTCACGGGAAACTTTGATCCTTCTTTGGCTTCGTACACATTCTCATTCTCTTTCTAGGAACAAAACGAGACACAAAAATAAATAAGATACTGATTTTTACAGTAAAGCTGAAAGTAAAGATGTGCACCGTCACAGCATGGCAGGACAAAGTTTCATTTACCAAAATATTTCTTTAGCAATGCGCTCTGACGTTTATACAAGTAAACATTAGCAATTTAAAAGTCAAAACCCACCATGAAGACTCTGGCGAGGCCAAAGTCAGCAACCTTGCAGATGTTGTTCTCGCCCACCAGGACGTTCCTGGCTGCCAGGTCTCTGTGGATGTAGTTCTGCAGCTCCAGGAAGGCCATGCCTGATGCCACCTGCGCGGCCATCTCAATCTGGTCAGAGAAACGCAGCGTGGTCCCCTTATCCTCTGTAACCAAGGCAGAGATCCACATGATGAGTCACAGTCACAGGATTCGAGTACGATGTTTAGCAAAGAAGGAAGTGGCACAAAGACGTTTTCCTTTGACATATACGACTTGTACACCAAAGATTTATTTAAAAAGGTCCCATATTTTCCTCTTGTCCTGTGTTTAATTTGAAGAAGAAGTTCCTACTCAGCGACTGTTGATTTCCGTGGAATAATATGTAGCTGTAGCTGATCAATGTCAATGGCATGAGTTGGTGAAACTGTAAAATTGAACTCTGAGCTGTTGCATGCTGGGTTTTATATCATTTACATGCAGGAGAAGATGGTTTCCCTGTATCATTTTGAGGTTTATAAAGATTTATACAAAGCAGACATTATGATCTCATGTCATAGCAGGAATACCACGAATGGAATCAACACCATCAATGATGGCCGCATTATTCCAGTAAGCCAGTGACACAGAACCTGTACCCTGAAACTGACGCAGCTAAAGAGGAATGCAGCCATCATTATAGTAAATTAATTACAGCTGTGACAGTGACAAGTCTAATGTCAGCTGTGAAGAAAGCCTGTGGAAAAGGAAACACGAGCTTGTGGACGGTGAAATAGTGGTCAGAGTCTTCCACCCAAGTTTTTTAGTCTCATCATTTTGAACTTATTCTTCAGCCCAGTTTTATTTGTCAAATTTCCGTGTCTGAGTCTGAGAAAAAAGCTCATCCTGTTTGTCTGCAAAGCTAAAATTAGCTGAAGCTGCTAAAGTACAGAGCTGTGCCTAAAACACCGTCACTTACCAGTTAAAGTCCATCCAAAAATGTCTATCCTTCCCTGTCATTGTATACCGCTGCAACTATTTATTACATTCATTGGTGGCTGATCTGCTGATTATTTTCTCAATGAATTGAGAAACACAAACATAAGATGACTCAGTGCTAACTGGCTGTTAATAAAACCAAGTGAACTCATTCTCTTCCTCAGAATAATCTCAACATGTCACACGATGCCGGCTCGATGCCAAGACATAAAACTAAGGCAACATTAGTGCATGTCCTTATCTTTTTACATCAGAGCAGAACGAGCCAATCCTGGACTCCTTGCAGCCACCAGGAAGCTCTCAGTCGGGCTCATTACCAGAAGTCTGGAAAACAAGACTGTGGAGCCTCACCTTTTTAATGATTTGGCTTTATTTAAAATGTATCCCTCGAGCACTCTATCCAGTATTAACATCTTTTGAAAGATAAAATCAGTTTTCTAAAGACTGCTGGACGAGACTACATAAAAAAATAAAGGTTTATAATGTGAAATATGTGTGGATGTGGATGAAGTTTAGGTTTAGGATCTGCTTCTCTTTCCCTGGTATAAATGCCTGAGCCGCAGCCGGACCCTTTGCTACAGGTGGGCAGACTTTCAAAGAGCCGCAGCAGAACTGGACTCTGGTCCCATCATAAAGTATCCGTCGCTCACAATCAACATGTATAGATGAAAACAAGGCCGTCTTACTCTGGAGGTACTCCAGTAGGCTGCCGTGCTTCATCAGCTCTGTGATGATGTAGATGGGGTCCTCCATGGTGCAGACGGCGTACAGCTGGATGAGCTTAGGGTGCCGCAGCCTCTTCATCATCTGAGCCTCTCTCAGGAAGTCCTCAGGATCCATGGTACCTGGGAAAGGTGTTGAGATCAGCGTCACCTTTGGCAATACACATTGTGTGGTGTAGTGTTTATACGCTTTTACACAAATTCATGGATTTTCTGTTGATGAATGGGAGTTATAATTGTAGTTGCTTTTAGACTATATATACAATAGACTGTAAATAAAGATGGACGTTGCCTCTGTGACGTCACCCATATGTTTCTGTAGAGCAATTTTGAAGCTCAGAGTGAGCTCCTCCACCGTCACCATCTTGGCAGTGTCTGACTCCGCCCCTAACTCCCAGCTAATCCAAAAATGGACAAAGAGGTGGTGCGTGTGTGGAGCTGAGACTTCAGTGCATGCCGGTTTGTGGCGAGCATTCGCTCACCCACCTGTCACTCAAAGAGGCCACGCCCTCAATTATACGCAACTTTAGTCCCAAATAAAATGTAAACAGGTGCGTTTTATAAACAGGTGTCATGAAGGAGGAAATTAGCTCTAGAGACCAAAACAGTTTTTTGTACCAGGCTGTAAATAGTTTATTTCTGCTGTAAAGTTGGACACTTTAACATGGGAGTCTATGGGGACTGACTCCCTGATGGAGCCAGACTCTAGTGGCCGGTCTGCAGGTTCGTCAGGCAACAGTGCTAACCACTGTACCACCGTGCCGTCCCATTTCGTTTGCAGCTTTTCAGAATGCTACTATGCAAATAAAAATGATAATTTGCTGTACCGGGTTTGAGGGTCTTCACTGCGACTGCTGTGGTTTCGTTCCACAGGCCCTCGAACACTTCACCAAACTGACCGGCTCCCAGCTTCCTCAGCAGTTTGATGGAGTTGCGGTCAATCTCCCATTGGTCAACTGTGTTGTAGGACAGACCGTGAGTCTGTGGGGCCTCCATCTACAAGGGCAGGAAGAGTCACTGTTTACTCAGATGACAATTTGCCATTTTACTGTATAAATAATAGCAACAACACAATAATAGAATTTAGAAAAATAAACAGCATGTGCTCCAGTTCGTGTTGTAGCATATCGTGCGTTTTACCTTTTTGCATGGTTCACCCAGATGCACACACAGGCCGTCAGCCTGTTTGGAGTAATGCTCCACTAACTCCCTCAGTGTCAGAAAGGATCTCGACCTGGACACAAAGTAGTGACCGTTGTCCAGTTTTTTCAGCTTGTAATGCTTCACCCTCCCACTGTCCAGCACTGAAAGACAAGTCGGCATCCAGTCATTTACTCAAGAGTCAACAACTACACAAGTAAGGTGAGACTGAACCGATACATCTCACTTCTTAAAGACAAATTTTTATAAAAACAGCTTTTATTGTGTGATGTCTGCTTGTTTTTCATTTATATTTCACTTTTATTTGTTTGGATGTTTTATATTTGACTCATGTGAAGCACCGCAGCTGCCACTGACTGTCCTTTCACCTGTTTGATTGGTTGATGTAATATTCATAAAAATAATGTTTTTGTCTCTCAAAATTTTACAGTTTAAATTCTTGTAATATTATGACTTTATTCTCAAAATTTCAGATTAATTTTTTTCCCCTCATTGTGGTCCTAATAGTCCATATAAATTAGTATTAAGAAGTATTGTTTCCCAACTTTGTGTTGTGATAGAACAACTGTTTAACTGTTTAAAATCAGTGAATTAATCTGGGTCTAGTGGCTGTGAAATTAAGTAGATTATCAACTAGCTTTAATGAATGGGCATGGAAAGAATTCAGTTGTAATGGAAAGAGCAAGGCCAGTGAAAAGACAGATTAGAGCAGCGAGAGATAAAGTTATCGCACAGCTTTTATTGGAGCAGAGACCTCTATTTATTTAACTTGATGACCTTCAAACCATCAATCATCTGGGCTGAGGGAACAAATGAGTCACTGAACACGGCTTGTGGATGAAGTGTGAGTTTTGTGGCGGCAGAATCCAGCACGTCTTCACATGAGAAAGATATATAAGAAGATGTTAGTCAGCTAATGTGCTATTAAAAAGGTTGTGTATGAGGATTTCGTATCAAAGATATTGATGGTGTGGAATAATACAATTGTACAACTCACATTTGCTTGCGATGTGATTGTTTTTAGGAAAGTTTCTCAGACCTTTTCTGGGTAAATATTTAACTACAAGAAAAAAAAAAAAAAAAAGTTCTGTTTTTGTTTAGCTCTGTTTTTAGCCGTAGGGCTAGCGGTAAAAATTAGCTAACAAGCTAACACTAGAGCCCGAAACTATTATGAAATATCTCATCTGTAGCATGCATTATTGGACGGATACCCCGCCCCCCATCTCACCCAGTCCCACTTAGTTATGTCGCTTACAAAGCTTGCTAACGTTAGCCACCGTAAGCTACTACACCCAAGTCTTGCAGCTAAATTAAACAAGTGTGTGTTTTATTGCTTATGATTTGAACTTTGAAGATTTTGTGATTTCATATTTAAAGAGTGAAATAATCCTGCTTTAATGTTCATATTAATCCACAGTTTTTTAATAAAAAGTGGTGAATATTTGGTTTCAGTGGGGACTTTGTGTTGCTAATGTAACTTCTTATCTTGGCTCACCTGAGAGGGAGAGCTCTCCTTTCTGACTTTCACAGTTTCTGACGAGGAAGGCTCCATGTTCGTTCCCTTCAGCCAGCAGCATCTTCTCCGCATCCTGCCTTTTGGTCTCGGGAAAATACCATCTACAAATCAGAGCAAGCAAAGAAGCAAAAGGTGGTCAAACACATTTCAGCCATTTCTGAAAACCAATAATAATAATATAAGTCCAGCCCAAATATGACGATATACAATATTATCCATTTTATAATAAATAATTATATTATTGTGTTTTATATTTCAGGTGTTTCAGTTCAAAGTTTTATTTGTCAGAGTGTAAAGTACAGTCAGCAGAGCAGTGAACTGATGGTCAGACTCAGCAGCAGGGCAGACTGTAAAACTGCAAAAAATAAAGATTTTTATTTATTTATTTTTTAAATCTTGTGAAAAATTTGGCGGAAAACATGGCGATATTCAATATTATACAATATTAGGCAAATAAGATTCACTGTGTTCATTGGTGATTTGACTAATTTCAAATTGTCTTACTAACACCAACTACACCGTATGATTTTTACTCAATGAAAAGTTTTTAAAATCTAGTGCTAAATGAAGATTCAGGTGATATAAATCCACTGAAAACCTCAAACTGACTATGAATATGTCTTACTAACAGGTACTGTGTTCCTCTGTGCCACTGAGCTCGACTGTTGTCCACAAACTATTAAAAAGACAACATGAAGGAATTCAGGATGTATTCACAACATAAAATTAGTCCGTATAGATCATCAGTACAGAACTCTTACTTACGTGTCACTACGGGAAACTTCACAATGACAACACTAAATATTTAGGCGTTAATATTTCTCCCAGACTGTCAGAGCTGTTCGACCTCAATTACATCCCTTTGCTAAAAAAAGAAAAAGAAAAAGAAGACGACTTCAAACGCTTGACTGCGCTCCCACTCACCCTCATTGAGCTAATCTCTACAGCTGAAATGAAAACTACCTCAGATTAATTATTTGTTTTCACTGCTTCCCACCACGACGATCGACAATCAGCTCAAAGCACCCGACTCATTAACAACTCGACAACAACTCAAAAACAAAATCTAACTTTAAAACGTTACAAAAATGAAAAATCACAAGGAGGCCTCGAAGCGACAAACATTCTCCACTACTTCTTGGAAAATCAACAACATTTATTTAAACTACAATAACCCATAGCTCAAATAAGAACAAATTCATTGTTGCAGACCTTCCCCTTCCTACTGTAATCAATCAACACACTGAATTACTGTAAGAACAAGACAATCTCCTCAACTCTGACAGCTCTGAGACGCACAAATTACTGGTTGTGTTGGTTTCTCATGAAGTCTGAAATAAGGCCAGCATTATCCTTTAGGGCCTTTATTATTTACCACGATTTTATTTACCACGATTTTGATAAAATATTATCAAAATCGCAATATGACTGTTTGGTACAGACTGCAGCAAAAAAAAAAGAAAAGAAATCATCACTTGAAAATTAAATTCAAAAATAACCATTCCCACTATAATCATGACTCGTATTGCAATATCTGTCAAAATCAGATTTTTTTTAATTGCATATTGTTCACCCTAACTTGGTCTTACATGATGCATTACACTAAACAATGTCATGCTGGGTCAGGTAAATCAATCAAACCAAATCCTGCAAGGCTGGATGGTGGGTCCAGGTGGGCGGGGCTTGGTGACTGCTTTGTTGTGACATCACAACATTCCAGAAGTCCTGACGGCTTGTTTTGAGGCTCAGTGTCTGAATACAGGCTGTGTGCATTCCTCTGTGGACTGAGGCTTTGATAATTTCACAGTATTAATAAAGAACCTAGAGCTGATCTATAATTAAACTACACATGGACAGAGACCTTTAGACTATATGGGACCTTTCACACAAGAATGATGCACTGATGCACTGATGTATGCTATTGGGAAACCCTTATTACAGCGCTGAAAGGTGTAAGGCTTTAATGTAACATTAGTCTGATCCTCAGATATGTATCTGATAAACAGCATGATTCTACAAAAAAAGTAAATGTGTTACAGAAAGAATTCCTCTTGACGTCATCTCATGTCATATCCATCAAGTCTGTGACTCAGTGAAACTATGACGTCAAATGACACCTGGATGGATCAAGGGAATAAAAAACTATTCGCACTTGTAAACAAAACAGGAATAACTGGAGTACAGCTGAGCAGAAACAGGTTTCACAGGAGACGTTAAGTAGGCCGAGAGTGCACCATCACTTTTCTGTGATGCTAACGTTTTCCAACAGATCAGCTGAACACACACTTTTTATTTGTTGAAAACATTGTCCACAATGGTAATATTATGCTTTCCAGTTATACTGGGTCATCTGAACATGTCAAGGCCTTTCACAGAATACTCAATTGGCTTCCTGCTGCTAAATTGAGCTTTGTTGCAAAACCAGTTTCAGTCTCTGCTGAACAGTAGTTAGACGAAATGCCAGGAAACCGAGGCATTTAGTGCACTATGTATGATCTTGTGTTTTTTGAGCCCTACCTTCCTGGGAATTATTAACCTGTAAGGACAGACTTCCTGGTCACAGAATAATTAACTTGTTTACTCAAGACTGGAAACATTTTTCAGCACTAAAAGACACAAAAACAAACTACCACCTGCTATCAGATTTTATATTCACGTCATGTCAACTGATTTATCCTTTTATTGGTTTTTAAAGCTCTTGATGGTCTTCCTCCAACTTATTTATCGAATTTATTATTATATTATTTTAATCAGTCTGTCAGTATTGTCTCCAGTGTTTCCTCAGTGCAAATATGTGCGATTGATGATAGAGTTTCTTCATTTCCTGTTATTACTCTTTTTTTATTTATTTTTTTTATTATTGTTTTTAATTATTACATGGTCATTTATTGTTCTCTCTGTGTGTGTATGTGTGAGTGAGGGGTACGGGTTTGTTTTTTTATTGCTTATTCTGCAAAGCACTTTGTATTACATTGTTTGTATGAAAAGTGCTATACAAATAAAGTCCGATTGACTGATTGATTTATTGATTGAAACAATGACTTTAGTTGGAAAAAACAAACTCACAGGATTCTGTATTATCAAATTTACAAAATATATCTACTACATACAGTTAGTATGATCATAAGCAGCAATACTTACGGTTCTGCATCAATACTCTCCACAGGTGCAACATAGTTGGCGGGGATGTATCCTTGTTTGGAGGCTGAGACCCCGCTGAGGGCTTTGGCGAACCACCAATCCCCAGCACTCTTGTCCAGAGCCTCCAAAATGTCCCCGGCGTTGAAGCTCAGGTCCTCCTCGGTGCGGGCGGAGTAGTCATACAGGGCGATGTAATGGTCCACGGCTTGCACCGGCGTCCGCGGTAAAGGTCTCTTAAAAGCAGAGTCCACTTCTGTGTTTTTAGCGATCGGGTTTTCAATCACCGTGTCGGCTTTCTTCTCTCTGAGGCCGGTCTCACCTGCAGGTTGACCCGGCTTTTTAAAACACGCCAGAAACCTCTGCCAACACGCAGAAAAACTATTCTGGGTCTCCATGGCGCGGTACGTCAATCACAGCAGCTCATTCCGAGTCAGGGAATAAAAGTCAGGGAACAGTGTAGGAAAATCCCTTCTCCTCACTCATGGTCCATGCTCCATGAAATAAAAACTCATTTTAATAATCCCAGAGTCAGACGGCGAGCAGCGGTCATTGGCCTCAGACACACACACCCGGCAAATAAGACACACAGTGCGGGAAGTGACTGCAGCTTTAAATGTCAAGTTTCCTGGTCAGAGAACCGGGTCTGGAGTTCACGGTTCAAGAGCCACTGTGCCAATCACCTGCACCTGCGGAGGAATGGGGAGCGGCTCACGTCACCTTCATCCAGGTGATGCCGTGTGCCCTCTGGCGGCCATATTGGAGGACAGCACCAAAACTACCTCACTGTAGATACAGACCATAGACTGTATAAAAAAATGATGAGTAACGGCTCCTGGACTTTATGCACCTCACCTCCATCACTTATGGGCGGCTGCAACAGCTTAAAGTCATCCTGTGAACAGACTGTTGCACTGTCCTCACTTAGCTATAAAGCATTTTTTCACCTCAGCCAAAGGAAGTGGACTAATCTAATGATGATGATGATTATTATTATTATTATTATTATTATTATTATTATTATGATTATTATTGAGAAAATAACACAACCGATTCTAAAAGACCCAAGCTCTCCTCCGGTGTCTGCTCCTCCGGTGACCGACCTCCCGGCTTGCCTCGTCAGCTGATCAGTCATTGCAGACCAGGCAGGCCAATCAAACAGAAACGCCCCCAAAAATACCTGTTTTTAAGGCCTAATATCTAATTAATTCGATGATTATTTTCAGATGGACAAACCGGGACACTGAACGATAGGTGTGGATTTAGCCAAAGACACCATAATGAGTTCTGATAAAAAAATTATTGACTGAGTATTTCAGTAGAGAAGTTGGCGTTTTTTGAATGGGTGTGCGAGCCCCTCGGTGGTATTGCACTCAAAGTCACTTCCGCATTGACTTCACTTCTCAGCCCAGCAGGCTACGTCCATTTTTATATACAACCTATGGTTTTGACACCGGACTGTTCTCAGAGTCAGGCATGGGCCAACTGCGACCTTCCTGCTTTTTGTCTTTCGTATTTAAAGCAAAGTTGGCGCCTTTTGGCCAAATGCCCGTATGTGCGCAGACCATTAAAGCAGACAGATGTGCGCACTTCTGTTTTTTTCGCTCCACGCCCCGTTTCCTGTTCGTCCGATTTCTGATACTGTCAAAGGTACAAAAGGTTTCTGCGTTTGTTTGTTCCCCAGTTTACTCTTCTTCTACTGTTATTCAGATTATTCTGGCAAAGACCCGGCTGGGTCGGGGCCCAGAGATCCGGCTGAGGTGTGGTCCGCCTGGTATCGGAGTCCAACAACCCACAACAAGGCCGGAAGCACGCCGCACGTGCCGGACGGCCATTAGGCCTACTGTTCTGGCGGTGGGCCTGAACGGCGTTTGTTAATTTCCTGCTATTTTCCCCATGCCAGCCCTTCACTTAGATACAGGATGGAATCAGATTAGATAACATGCTGGTTTATTAAAAGACACATTTACACACTGAGTGAACCAGCATGAAGTCCACAAGCAGCAGCAAAAATCAATAAACTGCAGCTGTAACTAAAGGTAAACTGTAAGTATAAGTCCAGCAGCAGCTCTGCACTATGTTCAAGTTACTAATAAATGATAATCACAATGTTCATAAACATACAGTTCATTAATTTGAAAGCAATAAATGAAAGGCTTAAATGTCACATGTATTACTCCTGGGGCCAAGGACAGTTTAGTCTGAATTATTTGTCCTAAAGATAGAAATCAGGGAGAATCCATACTACTATATTACTTTGAGCCATAAATTACCTCACACATTACCTTGGCCTTGTTGTGGATCCATGTCTGCTCAGTTAGAACAGCACATATTATTATGGTCTGGATTTAAATGTAGATTTGCCATCTAAACATTAAATCCGTGAACTCCCCACCTGTGTCATGTAAATTCAAAATAGTCGCATCAGACAATCTTTGCTTATTTTTATGTGGCAGTAGTGAAAATTAGTCATTGCCAAGATCTGTTGTGTTGTGTTTTCAGGATGATGGAGACAGAAAACAATTACATTCAAAATATGATGCATGATTCTTTTCTTTTTGGGCAACTTTTAAGTTTTTCCCCAAATGATGTACAAATGTCTTGATACAGTAAACAGTATATAATATAAAATAATAATATCGACTTAAATTGGGATTAAGCCTAGAATGTTTACAGTGTCTTCCTCCACCCCTGGTACAGACCAAGTAACATTGACGTTTTACGATCTATTTCACATGATTTAAATATAAACCACTGTAAAAGTGTGAAATGTGGGATTTTTTAATATTCCATTAGTATGTCATGTAAAAACATTGAGCAGAGGTACATTTTTTATAATGACTTTCGACTTTGTACACAACAGGTGAGGAACAGGGGGTTAATAGGGGCCAGCCCTGCGAATCTGAATGCGCTTTCCTGAATTCATTCTGCGCGTCTTCACCGTGCGTTACGGTTTCGTTTCACACCCGGAAGCACTGCACGCTCTCCCGCACTTTGGCTGCCGCCTCTCTACCGCCTTCTTCTGGCACACGGGAGTTTAGCTTGTGGCTCCGCTGCTTTAACTTATTGACGTTAACCGTTCACTGATAATCGATTGCGGGTGTAGGAAAAACGAACTCGGAGGTTGTTTTGTTTTTTCTCTTTTCGCGGCACTGTATGTGAGCGGAAGACTGAGTGACGCGTCCACAGAGCGCAGTCCCCATCCGCGGCGTCAATTCAGTGACATTGACTCATCGCTGGTGTTGTGCACAAGTTCATGTGTGTACACCAACGCGGTGGCCTCAGCGACAATGAGCGAATACTTCAGCCTGTCGGACTGCGATGTTATCGGCTTCGACTTGGACCACACGCTCTGCCGCTACCATCTGAAGGAGACCTCCAGGGTGAGTGTGTATGTGTGTGTGTGTGTGTGTGTGTGCGCAGCGCGGGGCAGGCAGCTAGCTCCAATACATAACCGTACGGTGGCCGTGACGCTTCGATCCGCAGCACATCTGGATTAAAAATAGCTCGGAGCTGTCAATACCCCTCCACGGTCACTTGTCAGTTCAGCCCCGCCGTTATGAAACATTGTGGCTGATGATGCTCATGAGTTTTGGTTGAAGGTACATGTGTGTGTGAGTGTGTGTGTGTGTGTGTGTGTGCAGGATGATGCTCCTGATGCTGCAGTCACTCTGCGTGACTCACAGGTTGAACGTCGGCGGTGATGCTCATACATGTCTTTAAATCCTCTGAGGCCTGTTGGCAGCCAGCAGCTCCTCGTATCATCTTGCGTTTTCTATAATTAGGACAGTCGCAGCACGCTCACAGGGATAGACTGTGACACTGGGTGACAAATAAATAAATCATTGCTAATCATTACAGTCTGTTTTGATCAGACATGCTCTCTCTTGTCCCATCATGTCACATGTATGTCCACTCATCCTGTCAGTGCAGTAGCATAGGATAGTGAACCCCAAATGCATGACCCAGTAAGGGAATTCTTAGTTTACTAATACTGATATCGTTTTTGATTAATTGATTGATTTTCAGATGCAGTCACCTAAAGATTTCTCTTAAAATTCAATGTGTGTTAAGGGCCAACACATATTCCAAAATCTTGGCATATGGTTTGATAGTAATCTCAGTTTGAGCTTCTACAATCATGTTTTTACCATCTTAGAGATATTTCTAAAATATGATCTTTTTTTTTAAACTTTTATAGACACAGGGACTATTTTACATGCCTTCATTTCATCACATTACTGCAACAGTCTCTTTTACTTGTCTCAATCAGAAATTTATTGATCGTCTGTACAGACTGTACAGAACTCTGCTGCCACATCTTCCCTGATTTAGCCTCCTTACACCGGCTCCCAGTGTGTTTCAGAATAAAGAGTGCGCACCCTGAGATCCTCAGGTGAAGGTCTTCTCTTGAATGATCTGCCTGAGGAAATCAGGTCGGCTGAGTCTGTGACCTCTTTAAAGATTCCTCTTAAAATTTTATCGGAGAGCTTTTCCTGGTTTTACTTCTACATTAATTATTTTTATTTCTCTTAAAATTAGCTCGTTATTGGTTTTTATACACCCGATTGTTTTAATTGTTCTATCTGTTTCTTCTCTTTGAAATCTATCAGATTTGATTTTTTGCTGTCCTTGACAAGCACTTTGTAATGTAGTTTTTGAAAAGTGCTCTATAGATAAAGATTATTATTATTATTATTATCATCATTCCTAAATGAATATTATTTGTGATTAATAATAACTAGATAAAGAAACAGATAAAGTTATCAACTAGCTGGTGAACATAGTGGAGCTTTTAGCAGCTAAGATAACAAAAACAGAGGTATTATTGGAGTAAATTTTGGACATTTTCCTAAATTAATTCTAATTGCTCCATGTGTAAAAAAGAAAAGAAAAAGGAAACTGTTTACTAATACATTTGCCATAACAATTGTTGTTGTGTTTTCACCCAAAGGGGTAAAAAGTAAGACAGCTTTAAAGATACACTCCAAGTATAATAGTATAACAACCAAATTCCCTCATTTCCTTGCTGATGCGTTAAAACTCAACCAATCAGGTGAGTGATGTTATTTCCTCTTTGTGTTTGCAGCTCATCTATGAGAGCTTTGCCAGGTACCTGGTGGAGCATAAAGGCTATGACAAGGACCTGCTGAACCTAACCCCGGCTACCTGGGATTTCTGGTGAGTCAGCAGCAGCAGTTTCCCACAGCATAGAGGGGAACAATGACACACACAGGTATAATGAATACCGGTTTCCCTTACAGGGATGTTAGGGATATATTAATGTAATACCTGTGGCTATGTTTCTTAAAGAGAGGTGAATCTCTCAGTTCTGTTGTTTCTTATCACATATACACTTTGAATTTTGTGTCTAGTTTTAAAGGACTAGTGGTGGATCTGGAGGATGGAAACCTCGTGAAGCTTGCTGAAGACGGAACTGTCTTGCGGTACGCTCTGCTCTTCCTGCATGAAATCCATTTTGATCTGCCTCCCAGGACACACATCTTCACTCTCTTTGTACAGCTTGTCATTGCTTTCACAGACCTTTTTAATGTGGAATAATAATCAATAAGTATTATTCTATTCTATTTCTTGCTTTTTTTTTTTTTTTTTTTTTTTTTTTAGAGCAACACATGGAACCAATGACCTCAGCGCAGAAGAGATCATCAAACATTATGGTCCCAAAAGGGAGTGGAAGCACTTCAGCAGCCTCAATACCTCCTTCACAAGATCTGGTGTGATGTCTATACCCATCTTTAATACCTGTAGCTGTATGCTTTCACTAGATTCCTAACTGATACTGATACTTTTATTTTGGTCTTTGCAGCAAATTACTATTACTATGACAACTACTTTGATCTACCCGGGGCTCTTCTCTGTGGACGAGTTGTGGATATGTTGCATAAGGTAATATTTGAGTGTGGCTTCATATTAATGGTTGATATTTTAATGTGGAAAAACATATTAAAATTGTAACTTTTTAACGTTTGTGTGAACAGCGAGGAAATGAGGTGAATTCGGACTTTTGGAAAGACATGGTTGCGGCCATTGATCACAATTACAACACATCTGCATTCAAAGGTAAGCTTTTGCTCATTTCTGATGTCTTCTTGTCGAGGACCGGTTCTGTAAGGAATGACAATACACACAAGGCACAGAGATTATTTTTCTTTTTCAGTCTAGAACTTTTATTCTGTGTTTTGGTCAGCAAGTGGTACATAACTTAACACATCCAATGGGACATAGTTGTTTGGAAAAAAAAATGCAGTTTGAATTTCTCATTCTGTGTTTTTTTTTTTTTTTTGCTGGTCACAGTGCTTGTGAGAATGTGCTGATCTCTGATAACATATAGTACAACAGTTTTGTGTGTCTTTTGTATGTATATTACAGGAAAATTCTTAAACAACAGACATTAATAAAAACGAACACAAGTACAAGACGTGCTGTAAATGTTACAGGCAGTTGTAGAGCACCACTTAAAACATTTCCGATATGGTTTCATGTTTCTTAAAATTGCCAATGCACACACAAGATGAACTGGGGAGCGGGATCAATTTGAACCATGTGTTTTTACATTTTAGTCAGCATTAATACCTCTGTTTGTCAAATCATTTGTTAGCAAAACTTTTTCAAGATTTGAATGAGGCAGTTAAACTTGCAAAATTTACAACCATACTTTTTCCTTAATTTACCATCTCAATTTGGAATTTTGTAAACTGATCTATTTCTCTGAGTAGTTCAATGTTTGTAAGGTTTTGAGGTTTATTTGGATTTGTGAAATCACGTTGAGGCAATCAAGAACCCAGAGAAAGCGCAGTGAACATTATCTGCGGCAAATATACCGTTACTCTCCTCATCAGGGACCTGGATATAGACTCTGTCACCGGGATGCAGCATAAGAACAGTACTGCCTGACATCTGATCCAGGAAGCCCTTGTTGTACTCATCATAGGTGAAAACAACTGGGTCTTCGTTTTTGTAGAGGGCCACCAATGCATTAGCACCATTGACATGGATATGATAGCTGAAATAGTAGAGGCCTGGGATCTGGCAGGTGAACACACCACTGTGGGGGTCATAATGGTTCTCCCCATTGTACAGAACCTGAGCGAACTGAATAGGAGTACCAGATGGGGGGTAGGCGGTGGTCAGCACAGCACTGAAGGCAGACATGGGGGCCTTCATCATCTCATGAGACATCACAACCTCGTGGGACTTGATTGGCATGCTCTTCTCATGGTGGTAGACCACCTCTCCTGGTGGGCCAGGTGGACCGGGAGGACCGGCAGGGCCTGGAAGACCATCGTGACCTCTGGCACCTGGAATTCCAGGTGGACCCTGAGGACCACTAACGCCCTTAGCTGTTAAGCCAGCTGGACCAGGTGCGCCTGGCATACCTGGGTGGCCCTTAAGTCCAGGGGGACCGGATTGACCGGGTGCTCCAGCTGGTCCCATGGGTCCTGGTCTTCCACTCTCACCACTTTTTCCTGGTGCTCCTGGGGTACCTGTGTGTCCTTTTAGTCCTGGGGCGCCATTTGAACCTGGGATTCCTGGGGCACCGGTGTGGCCTTGAGAACCCTTTGGACCCTGAGGACCATTGTGACCTGGAATTCCTGAAGGACCTACTGCCCCAGGGACACCTGGTTTTCCAGTGAAACCCTGAGCTCCCTGGTCACCCTTGGTTCCCCTTGGGCCTGGTGCACCCACCATACCAATGTCGCCTTTGGGTCCTGTTGGGCCTCCCTCACCCTGGAATCCTCTTGCACCCTGTGGACCAGCTGGGCCAATAGGACCAGGAGCGCCTGGCTGACCAGTATAACCAGTTGGACCTGGCTCTCCCTTTTGACCAGTGGTTCCTGGAGTACCAGGGGATCCTCTGCTGCCTGGTATTCCAGGCTCACCTGTTTTGCCAACACCTGGCATGCCAGGGGAGCCTGGCTGACCAGATGGACCCTGTGGACCTTTAGCCCCCATAGGTCCAGGCATACCTGGTGTACCATTCTGGCCTGGTTTTCCTGGTGCTCCTGTGCCTGGAGCCCCAGTGTGACCCTTTGGCCCTGTCATACCCATTGGCCCAGGAGCACCATCCCTTCCTGGCATGCCAGACTTGCCAGGTTCTCCAGGATAGCCAGTGGCACCAGGTTTACCAACTCCAGGTTTACCTGGCATACCAGATGGACCCATTGGTCCGACTGCGCCTGGTGCTCCTTGAACCCCAGGAACCCCAATACCTCTCTCTCCTTTGGAGCCAGGAAGACCAGGAATACCAGGATGTCCCTTCAGGCCAGGCTCTCCTCTTGGTCCCATTGATCCAGGAATGCCAGATGGTCCAGGTTTTCCAACAGAAGAGAATCCTGCAGGTCCAGGTGTTCCAGGTGTGCCAGGTGCACCTCTGGGACCCATTGGTCCACTTGAGCCAGGTGCACCTCTATCACCAGGGATACCAGGGGTACCTGGTTTTCCAGGGCCACCTGGGCTACCAGGTTTACCTGCTTGAGTGTAGCCAGCAGGTCCAGGAGATCCTGGTGGTCCTGGTGGTCCAGTATGTCCTACGCCACTCTTTCCAGGAGGTCCAGGTGGTCCCATTGGTCCTGGTTCACCTGGAGGCCCTTGAGCACCTTGCTCACCTGCAACAACTAAGGGAATACAGAAATACAGATACATGTGATACAATTATTTCGGTAATATGATGCACAGGTTATAATGTGACAGGTATCTTTGTTAGATCAATAACTGTCTGTTTTACTGAATCATGAGCTTTGATGTAAAAAGGGTACTGCACAGCATTCCACATGATGTTGTAGGATATTAAAGATACACATACAAGCATACAACAATTGATGCAGATATTAAGATATGCTTAGTTCTCCCCAAGGAAATGACAAACTGAAGTGGACTATAAATGATCAAGAAATGGCTTCATTTTGAAGCATTTCTCTGCACATTCTCTGACTCTCGTGCATTTGAAATGCACTTCATAGGATGCCTCCATGGTCCTTGAATAACCCAGAGTCTGGTACTCTACTCTGTAAGACAACAAACTGCCTCAAAGCACCCCTCCCTATGATTGTGGGGTGGGTTGTGAGGACAGCACTCCCTTTTTTCCCCAGTTTAGTCTTAACAGCACCACTGGTCTGAGATGATGCTCTCACCAAGCTTACGTCTACTGGCATGAGACCTAGTACACCAGCTTCTGTACATTTCAGTTCAATTTGCCCGCACTATGCTGCACCCTTTAATTTCCTGCACTGCCCATGGCCGTGAATGTATAGTTAGTGGTCTGCAAGTTGTCAACAACACCTTGATACATTTCCTGCCACATAGCATAGAGTTTATGGGCAAGGTCAAATGAATGTATGGGTTTGCACTAAACTGGCATATAAAGTCAATTTATTGCTCACTAGTCTATATGTATCACTAAAGTGATACATAGGATAAACAAAAATTTTTAAGACTTACAGGATTTTTTTTTTTTTCTATTTAATTTTTGTTTTATTTTATTTGTTTTATTTGTTAATATAAATTAGCATACATTTTGCTAGTTTGCCTAAGGCTAATTAATATAGCACAAATGATATTAAACTTGTCTTTAATTTCTGTTCAGTCTTAATCTTTGAGAATATATTTTAAAGCCGATTCATGTATAAATTGGTCACTATAATAAGAATGTAGGCAGGACTTTGGTATTGCAATAAAAAAAATAAAATAAAAAAAAAACTCAAAATTAATCTACCAGGGCTTTAACATTAAAAAGACATATAGAATTAGAGTTTAGGAACTATCCTAATTTTTGAACCGTGTTAAAGTTGCTATCACATTCCTTCATGCGCCATAATTTTGGATGCGTCATTGATCCGTCAAAGCAACAAATCCAGTAGTGTTGGCCTCTCTTTTGTCAAGGGCTGTCATTTTCAAACCACATAAGGCAGTGCCCGAAACCCCACAGGGGAATTTTGTGCCAGAACTGGACCTAGTGGCAGCCAGGAACACCACAAACTGGAGGTGAGGATGCTGGTCACAGGAACTGACCCAGGAGCTGAACCATATGTGACCTTCAAAGTACTATTGCACATTTAGTGTACTACATAATATCCATTCAGTTTGGTTGTTTGTGAGTCTTTTTTTTTTTTCCTAATTCTTCTGTTGTTTGTATTTTGGAAAAATTAGCTTCATTATCTCGCCGGCAGAGTGATTTACTGCTTGAACTTGACAGAGTGTTTCTCCCCAGTCTGTGTTGTTTTTCTAAATTCTTATTGTGTGGTGTGATTTTAATACCACAGGGCAGTTTGTTAGGGCGTGCCTGCAACGTGGTAACAACATCTGTTTTGGAGATCTGACAAATTTTAGCTCTCATTGTCGACTTTCTGCTCTATTTTTATATTTTTATGCGGAGGCTCACAGTCGAACCACATCAGAACCCCCTCAAAAACAAAACTGGAGAAATAAATTCTCAACTGTGAATGCAAAATTTGAATCATCGTTAAATTATGGTTTTACTTCTGAAACGGTCTCATACATCACCCTGGCAGTTACACCGTCACCACTGCTTTGGGTTTTTCTTTTATTACACATGCAAAAGTAGTATTTATTTAGAGCACAAGTGCTCTTTTACTGCTATACCCCACCTCACAGTTATATACAGATCTACGCATTCACAGCAGTTCACAACACCTCAACCCACAGCCCTGTGCTCTCAGCCAATGAGACGCAGCGCTGGACCTGGCGGGTTGAGCACCTTGATGACAGTTAATGAAGGAGGGTGTTGCCAGGCTGCGGAGTGTTGATGATAATGATGATGAGGATGATGACTTGAATTTGCAGTTAATTAAGAAATTTGCTGTTGATGAAAAAGGCTGCTGTATTTATGAGATTCACATTTTCAGATTAGTAATTTCAAATTATGGGAGTAATTTGATTTGACCAAATTACAGTTTAGAGTCATGCAATTGTAGGTTCTAACTTGATAGACTTGATTTAAACATCTTTGAGTGGGAGCCTGCACGAGTTATAGATAAGTCTGTAAACATATATCCAATAAATTCCCGCAGACGTGTAATTTGAAGTGTTTTCTGATGCAGTTTCACTTGTTTAGGTTTGTTTTAACTTTTAAGCAGAAACTGATGGATTATGGAGCCGAGGAGCTCTGAATGCAGCCTGCAGTGATATGAACTGAACAATGGGCTTCATAGGTGTTTAAATATTATACTAAAAATATATAGATGCAGGAATTTTGTTCTGACCCTGCTTATTTACCCCAGTTAAATCGGAACCATCTTTATTTATAATAATTGCAGCATCGCTCTTATTAGGATAAAGAATTGTCACTACTTGTTTTTACATGAACAGCTCTTGTGTGAAAAGTCATATGCGACTCACCATGACTCTTGACGGGGTAGTGTGCCTTGGCTACTTTTGGCACGTGGTAGTACCTATCAGGGGTCGCCTCAGCCAAAGCTAGGAGGACGAGGAGAACGCTGGTTACCCTCAGGTCCATCTTGTGAAGCCAAACCTGCAAAGACAAAAATTTGTTTGTGAGAAGAAGAAGAAGAAGAAGTAGTGTTGCTCTTTGTCTCTAATGACATTCAGCAAGCAAAGGACCATGCATGATGAATCTGAGTGGCACAGTGCACATGTTGCTGCACTTGTCTCACACTCGAAAGTGGTGCATCAAGTTAATTGAGGAGTTTAGCTGCAAGATAAATGTCAAAATCTTTCATTTCTAATTGAAGTGAGCTGCTATGGTAAAAAATGATCCCTAACATCTCTGTCAACAGATTATTTTTTCAAGCCTTATTTGTCCAAAGTTCTCACAAAAGTGAAAGATTCTGTCCCAGTGTGAATGCAGCAATAGCACATGGCTCATTACACTTGTTACAGCAGCAACCGGCAGCCGACCCACCTCTCAGTGAGAGCCAGGCTGCAGCTGGGATTTCCCCACTACACTAACCTGAAATCAGGAGAAAAAAAAAGGCAACTTACCGTGATGGTTTACGCTCCAAAGAAACAGTCAGGGGGGGTCGGGAGGCTGCTGTCCCGATACCTTGCTGTTATATCCTTTAGTTTGTGGAGCCTGTCTGTCTGAGTGGCAGCTGCTGCTTCCCAGGGCACTGGGCTCAAGGTATTTATACTGAGCCACTCTTCCAGCATCGTGAAGGATCTACCTCGCGTGGAAGGCCCCTCCCTGCTCTGATGTCATCTTTAATGATGGGTGCCATGTCCTCAGGAGGCATGTCACTTCAGGGTGATGCCCCCCCCTCTCTTCATGTGGTTCTCTCTGTCTGCAGCAGTGAGGGGGATTCCTGTCAGATCCCCATTTTCATAAGTTCATTTGACCTGTAGTTGATTCTGTGGCAGATCTTAAAGCTGACATTTATTCCGTTTTACATCTGACACCTTAATCACTGTTTGCACTTTTTCGACAAACAGCCTGGTGTTTCTTTTTTTGAACATTTTTAGCTGCTCAAACAGGTGTTTTTGTTTTTTTTAAGTCTAAAGACATAAAGTAATTGACTAAGAGGGTGTTTTTCTGGAAAAGTAAAGACTGTGTGAGACTGACAATATTTTCCTCCGGTCTGAAGACAGTGAGGTTGTGGTTGGTAGAGGTCATGCACCAAATGGCTGTTTTCACTGAGTTTTGGTTAAATCTGAAACGACACACAGCTTTTAATAGATGCTGGAAAGTTGTAGCGTCTTTTTTAAAATCTCCAAATTCTGGGTTTGAAAGATGTTGTTCACAAATATAGATCCATTTCTAGACCTGCAACTGGCTCGATTTTTTGTCTACAGATTTAAATTCCACCCCATGATGATGTCTGCATATTGTCTTTGATGAACTGGCATATGGTTACCTGCACTGACCCACAGTTGCAGCTTTAAGCCAGCAGGAGGCAGAAGTGAGGTTTCAAGCCGCTTCACACTGTGAGGAGCCTCTGGTCTGCAGGTCACACTCGCACAGTGGCAGCAGTAGAGGAGCTCGGAGCACAGATATAGATGTATTGATATGGGTCAGAGCTGAACAGTTGATCGAAATATTATCGAAATTGCAATACGGTCAAGTGCAATTTTCACATCACAGGAGCATAAATGAAGCATTGTGGTGCTAGAGAGATAACCCCCCATCTATTTGTTTCTGTGACAGCGAATTGCAAAAATTGCCATTCCCACTGTAATCGTGCCTCATATTGCAATCGTTCTGCTCTAATATAGTTCTACTTGAGGAATGAGTGTATAAATACCATCCTCTGATCCAGCGTTTTAAGAATCTCCAGCAGGTGTTTTTTTTATACATTAAAATAGTTAATAAAGGTGTAAAAAAAAAAAAAAGCCTGAAACAATAGAATCTAATAAGGAAATGATTCTGTGCTCTGAATTCTGATGCCCAAATTAGTGTAGGTCTTTGAGACTCATATATTAAGATCTGCTGTGTTGAAAAAAAGCTTTTTCTTTTTCTACATAAACCTATGTAATGGTAAAACACTGTTAAACTAAACTTTGTTACAAAATGCCTAATAATGATGCATACAGTTAACTACTATTGGCTTCTACAATGACCTTACCAATTCATTGCTGGGCTGTAATTCATGATGAAGAAAACAAACATATCAAAAACGGTTATAAAATTAAACCTGAAAGACAATAAAGTAAAATGAAAAATACATTTTCCAAAGTTTTCTTTTTTTTTGTATCTTTTATATCAAAATTCTTCTCTTCTCTGTAAAACATAAAAATATTTTTGATGGCTCATGTTGAACTCATAAATTCAGCCACATGTGATTTTGGGTGCTAGCTAACCACACATATCACATAAAGCTGAACTTGGCTAGTGAGGGTAGCTAGCAAAACAGCACCATAGTAGGAAGTGAATGTTTCACTGAGACTTTAAATAAACTATGTTTTTAAATGTTTGAAAACAAAATTATAAAATAATTACAAACAAATTAAAAATGTGTAAACACTCCTTTCATTGTTTTTCTTCTTGTATTAAGTTGGAAAAGATTGGGAACCACTGAGTTAGACATTTTGGGTAACATCTTTATTTGCTTTCTTGAAGACAGTTAGATGAGAATATTGACACCACTCTCATGTCTGGACACTAAATATGAACCTACAACCAGCAGCCAGTTAGCTTAGCTTAGCTTAGCTTAGCAGAAGGTCGGGGGAAACGGCTGGTCCGACTTGTCACAAAATCCACCTTACAGCATCTTTAAAGTTAATTAATTAATTGACATGTTACATATTGTTTGTTTAATTCAAAACACAAGTGTTAAAAATGCCATGTTGTAGTTCTGTGGGAGGTTATGCGTCAGACTGTTTCTTGGCCTTCCCGAATCTCTGCTGGTCACCAAGTACAAAGTTTGATATTCAATTCACAGTGAATTTGTTCATATGTTGCTGTAAATTTGCTATTTTCCAATGCTCAGACCGAACAGCAGCACAAGCAAAAATATATGAAATATGGAACAATCACAGCTACTTTCAGGATAACTCATAGATTTTAAAAAAGAAGCTAAATTAACATGATATTCCTGCTGTAATACCCACAAATCTCAATGTTTTATTTTATTTTGAGTCTCTTTAAATAAGAGAAAAAAATTCTGCCAATTCAATGAGGATACCTTACATTTGTTTCAAAATAAGATGAAACTTCATTGATCTCCAGAAAGGAAATTCACAAAGAAAATACAAGAAGAGAAGAAAATAAAAAGTTATTTTGACGGTTGAACGTGATATAAATTTTGTTTGCATAGCAACAAGGATTAAACATTGTGATCTTCATCAACCTTAAATCTACATTCTTGATTGGTGCAGCCACTGTGTAATAGATCTGTGGTTTTTGGGAAAGCCTTCCCTTCCCTCTGCCCGTATCATTTAAACTGCCAACGTCGCAGCAGCCGCAGATGAGCCGTGGGCATCTTTTGGTAAACTCTTTGAATTAAATGACAGAGTAGTGTGGGGGGGGGTGGAGTCGACATTTAACAACTTTCTAAGCTGCAGATATGCCATTGCATCTCACCATGAAAGTGGCTGTGACCGCAGTGAGGCATGGCTGCCTTCATTTCATTTAGATCTTCTTGTTCTTTTTTTTTATCCGGTGTGTCAGAATTAATGCCTCCTGAACTAAATCTGGCCAGTGTGAGGTTTAATGTAAACGGCTACTTAGATTCAATCGCTGCTTCTCGGTGGGTTTGTGCTGTGTACGGCAAAAAGGCAATCACAGTGCATAAACATGTAATTAGGAGGGGAGATGAACTGTATGGAATGCAACACTGACAAGAGTATGATATGGACTCGTCCTCGTTCCCTCTTCGTCCCGAGGGGCAGGGTGGGTGGTATTTCTGGGAAGGGTCTGCTGTAACCATTGTTTTGCCCCTCCCAACATCTTAACGTGCTATTGCTGCACCTTTAGACGTGACTTAATGCTCCTTCAGTGGCTTTAATTACCTCTGGTGATGACGGCTTGTCCCCCAACATGCTCAGCCTCTGTTTTCCACATTATCTTGATAAACGTATAAAAACACAAAGTCACATCTGATTTTTCCAGCTTTACATATTGTATTTGTGATTTGTTGTCATATGGTGTTTATCTAAACTTAACTGCTTTTCTACATTTTCAACTTGTTAATTAATGATTCAGTTTATTTTTCAGACCCATGCTGGTTATAGATTGATGTTAATTGTAAACTACTGCCTTTTTGAATTGTTCTGAAGATTTCCAATTAAATGATTGTGTTATTAGACAATACAAGGACTTTGCCTAAATACATCAGTTTAATCAGTTTAAAAATTCTGTTTAAAAAGTATTTAAATTGGTAAATATATATTTAAAAAATAAATAAAGCTATGGATATGAACAGACACTCCATGTCAGTTTTTGCCATTTGACAGTTTTCAATGCATTTCAGTCAAAAAAGTGTTGTGGTTTGGTAAATAGCCCTGTCTCTGTTTTACATAGTATTATATTGGTAACATGTAGGCCAGCAGACCCACATTATGCTAAAAAAAACTTTTAACTGTCATCTAACATATAATTAAAAAGCACATAATTCTTCATCACTGCTTTGTTTCTGGAAGGGATGTACAATATAGATGTTTTATCCGTATTTATTTGTATATTTCCGTTGTTGGACAGTCCTGTCTCCGTTTGGCTCCAGAGATTTGAGGATGCCATGGTGTCTGAGAGAGAGAGAGAGGAGAAAATAATTGCAGGTTGATGTACCTAAGCCAGCAGGGAAGAGTGGAAAGCAGCAGCTAAAGATAGAGTGTTTGAGATGGGAAGTGACGGTGGCTCAGATTTAACGTTTTAATAAACCAAATATGCCACTAAGAGGCACTTAGAGCTTTATGAATGGAAGGACTGAAGCTTGACCTCCTCGCTGTGTGTTGGCTGCAATTACAGGGACCCAAACACAAAAATCATGGTTGGAAGTTTGACCAACCTGAGGCCGACTGTAATTCAGAATAGCAACCAAAAGCCCTCACTGCATCCATCTGGATTTTCTTTTCCTTTTTTCAGCTCGACAAGATCTCGCCCAAGTCATTATAAAATTATGGAAAGGCTGGTCTCATGAGAAAAAGAATTAAAGCCAGAGACGCTGAATTTTTCGGGTTACCAAATCAGATTTTGCCCTCATTTTAGGATTTATTTTAGGAGCAGGTAATGGGTTACTTTAAAGCCAATTATCTAAATCAAAGCTGAGTAAGTGCTATAATGACCAGTACTTTTCATTTTTACTGCACCTCCCACACCAGCTCATAATCATCCGCTTTTACAGGTGTGGTATCGCAATCTGTCAATTCCAGCATCTCAAGAAAATCCTTAATGCTTCTACAGAATCACACATCTTAGTCTTTGATACGTTACGATATGTTGCACATATTACCAGCCTGCCTGGGGTTGAAACTTCGGAGGCTCAAAACGTACAAATGGCCGTAAAAGATTATTAGACAAGTCAAAAATATAACTGATAACATCAATAAATAAGACTTAAATAATTAAAATGGAGAATAAAAACAAACGCAAAACTTTGCTTTTCTGTTAAACTCCAATAATTTGGATAAAAAAGAAAAGTTTAGCTTC